GAAACATCTTCGGTAGACTTGACGAATGCGACGAGTGCGGCGTTTCTCTGGGCATTCTTGACAAAGCGTTTGAGGGAGACTTGGTAGTCGGGGTCAGAGGGAGTGACGAGGTCGCCTGTGAAGCCGGCCTCTAAGAGAGGTGTTTTCCAATCAAAGTTTAACGCTCTGATCATACTTGACTTTCGTGGTAAATACGTGTAGCAACTAGGATGAGGGGATTAATGACAAGGAATGTCGGGGTGGATCCACACGCACCTCTATGCCCCTATATATGTGCCACTTGATTTATTTAAAGAGTTTATAGCGACCGACACTGAACCAATGGGACAGCGTGAGTCGAGACGAACGTTGCTACTCCACGCCAAGTTTGATCTGCTTTCGGCCCGATTCTTCATTCATTTTACTTTTTATGTGCCGGTGGAGCTGCCAATATTTGGGAGGATGTCGCCTTGGATCCGGGGGCGTCCTCCACCTTGACTTTGCTCTGGACGTGTTGATGACCGGATCTAGAGCGACAAGTTTGTGAATTGCCGATCTGTCGTCATAAAAGGTATTGTGGAGGAGACTGAATGAGTCGGCACCACTCGAGAAACGGGATTCCTTCCTCTTACCTCAGAGATTCCCTGAAGATGGCCTAAATATACATCGGTGAGGTTGAAATTGTATACAGATAACGACGAAGGTTTAGTTTAGTGATAATGCTTTCCCCTGACTTCCACGCCACAAGCATATGTTGAGACACGCCTTGTATTGTCTGTATTGATTATGTACAAATGTCGATCAAATTTTATATCTCCAAACCCATTTACTCTTGAGATGATATACTATCCCTATTCCAGTCATGCGCTGGACGCAGGCTGGATTGGGAACCAGGAGTTAAACATCAAGTTAGGGTCATACTTGGCCTTGAGCGCTTGAAGTCTCGGATAGTTGTCTCCAAAGAGTGATTTTGCAGCGTCTTGATCCCTAGGATCACGTGGCTCTAAAGGAACGACGCGTTTAGTAACTCACGGCTAGTTCAAGAAGAAAGGAAAAGGCAACTCACCGCCATTTCCATAACCTGTACCGTAGGCACTATGGTCTTCTGTACCAAAGGTCGATTTCAACTCTCCTTCGCCAAATGTTCTCAGCGCTCTGTGCCTCTCTCTGGCTTCAGTAGTCGCCTCGGGATCATCAGAAGTCCACAGAACAAGAGATGGAGCGACGAGATAAGGGACTCGCATGCTGAACGCTGTCGCATCGCGAGGTTGCTCGCACAGCTTCTTCAAATGCCAAAATTCCCATAAAACGACCAAGGTGATAGCGTTGTCTTCTTCCTCTTTGGTGGGTTCGGGTGTAAGAATGCTTCTTTTTGGATTGTCTAGAAGATTTCTGATCAGTTTTTTCTTGTTCATGTCTAGCCTGTTG